GCACCAGCACCAGCACCACCACCAGGACCACTGTGGAATTCACTGTGGAGAGCTCTGATGACGGCGACAGCGAGAAGGACAACGACTTGATACTAGCTATGCCGGACCTAGCCATGTTGCCACAGTATTGTTGCGAGTGTTTCAAAACTAACTTCAGCAGAACTCCATGGATGGCCTTCGGCCGCTTGATGGAAGACATGCCAAAGGTCAGCCAATGATGCCCAGTAGGCGCATTGTCCTTCCAGAAATCTGTGACAGATTGAAAGTTCTGTGCTCTTGGCTGTAAACTGCATTGTAGCAGGGACACCCGCTAGCTAGGCCGGAAGCACCTGGCATGCAAGGAAGCCTTGTGCCATAATCGGATTCAAGCTTCACCGAGAAACACGGCCATGAATACTTGTTGAGGCCTTACTAATTAGAGTAGGGTTTTGCGGATTCCTTAGTGTAATTGTAGTATAATGGGCCCCAAAACCCTATTCTAATTATGAAGGCATTATGAAGGCCCCTATCTTAATCGATCTGTTCATCATGTGCCGGCTGCAAACGACAGTCAGAGGAAGAGCGAAGCACAGCCGGCATCCGTCTCTGAAAGGCCAGGAGGATAGATTAGAAGCCTTAACAATTAGAATAGGGCCTTGGGTTATATAATACTATAAGAATAGGGTTTTGGGATATATAATACTATAACTAGACTGCAATCAGGAACCCTCCACAATAGTATTGGAAATTATTTCGGCCCCTATATTAGATTGTGGCGCCGTTGATGCGCAACGCTTCTTACAGGCTGAGAGGCCAAGCTGCCCGAAAACCTAAACCGAAACCCTAAACCCTAAACCCTAAAACCCTAAACCCTAAAACCCAAAACCCTAAACCCTAAAACCCTAAACCGATGGTGCTCTGTCCTCTGGCCTGGGCAGCAGCCTCCTTGGTTCATGGGGAGATAGATTGATCTACACCGGCGCAACGAACGAGGGCCTGTTTAAGGGATCTTGGTTATACTTCACTCTAATTACCTCGGTGCCCGAATGGTCACTCCCCGTTTCGAGCCCATTTCAAATGCGAGTGCTTCTCCAAACCGGGGTCCTAGACTTGGGTTCCTGCATTCAGCTTGTCAAAAGCAAGGCATCACAAGATCTAGCATCTAGGAACATCCCTCTACTTCCCGACAAGTCGCAAGGAGGCCGGTGAAAGCTTAGCCAGCGGGTTGGCAATATCTTTCCATGTTGCGGCTTCCTGCATGACAAGACGCGCTTCGACCACAACTCCGAACTCCATATCTATTCCTCAATCCTCCTGCGCTCAGCGTCCTGGTAAACCCTAAACAATAACCCCAAACCGCGAAACCCCTGTATCTAGACAGGGGCATGTGGGGCGTTTCTCGCCTCCGGCTCTGCCAAAACGTCGCCTCGCCCCTTAGAGCAGCCACTGAAGCCCGGAGCGAGGCTCGCAGGCTTCAGCTTCAGCGAGGGAAGGCCAACCTCTGCTAGCCTCAGCGTACAGGAGTACACGCTTGAATCCTGGGTCTCCCAAGGTTCGGCAGGGCCTATGTCTACAGGTCCTAGGTGCGTTGCATGGCAAGCCAAAAACGGCCCGGGCTAAGAATCTGGCTGGTTCTGTTCAGGAGCCTCGCCATCGGGAAATGGGAAGATCACGGCGAGGAACACCTCGAGACACCCCAACTGAGATGAGGAAGCCTCACGGCCTCAAGACCAACCCTTGCAAGATCTCGGACCCAACTGCGATCAATGATCCCTAAACCCTAAACCCCTTAACCCTAAACCCTAAACCCAAAAACGTACAGCCTGGTTCAGCAGCATCGCGCATGCTGCGAATAGAAGGCAAAGCCCGCTCACACCTGGCTCTGACACCACGAAACGCCACAAGGCAGGAGGTTTTTACGCATAAGGCAGCAGGCTTATGCCGTCTCTTTTGCAACGTCTTCATTGCAAATATGCTACCATATCCTTCAGTGCCTTACCCGCTCCCAGTCCCCATTGGCAAGTGCCTGGCGCACGTGTCGCACGCTCTTTTGCCATGACCTTAGCACTTAGCACTATGTCGTGAAACCTGTGTGCTGCGTGTTGAAGGTTTCGTGCTTCTTGCTTCATGAAACTATTAGTCTCGCCGCGAAGTGCTGAACACCTTGGCCTGTGGATCATATCGCAGCACCCTCTGAGACGGAAGCGGAATTCGGCGTGGCAATCAGAACTCTGGGCAGTACTTGAGGCGCATGCGAAGCTTCATCGACGACATTGCATCGCGAAGCTCGAGTGCATGAGCACTGTCACACCGAACTCGGAATGTGTTACGCTGGTGAACTGGGCTCTAGGTAGGTACTGTAGTTGTATCTCCTCCACAGAGGATGTGAAGCCCAGATACTTGTATGACTTATGAAGCAGGATCAACCGCTGCTACACAATGCATCAGCTACGGTCTCCGTCTCAATAGTTGGGTCAAGAATGAGCCAGTCAGCAGCATCTGCTGCTGGTGCAGCAGCTCAGAAACAGGACTGAGATGCAGCTCTGGCTTGTTCTGCCAGAACATGCAAACGCAGAGCTGCCAGGCAGGCTCGAAGGGACCTCTGCAGGAGCTGCCAGCAGCAAAGGACCTCGGCAAGGCCCCGCCCTCCGCAAACAGAGAAAAGCCTACCTCCAGTGCCTGAGCCCAGTACTTAGCCCCAAGGTCCCCAAGGTCGTCAGATCCGATGGCTGTCTCTGTCGCCTGGATGCCTGCCACAAGGGGGTGGAGGGGTGACAGACTCAGGCTTCGAAACCCGGAACAACCCATAACTGCGAGAAGTGCAATCCCAATTTCATCAGTGCACGTGCCACTTGCCGACATTACTGTCGCTCGTATGGTGCACAACATTGGGGAGCAAACGCGGCTGCGATACAGAGATTGCAACAAGGATTCTGGCACGAGTCTTACGATGCGCCAGAGAGTCCTAGATGCGAATAACGACACAGACCTGTGGCAGAGATTGTGGTCTTGGAAGCAAAGAAGACGTCTGAACATTTGCATCTGTGCATGGCTTAGTCGTGCCGCATCGGCTACTGCTTTTAGAGGCTGGCTTGCTACTGTACAGTACAAACAGAGTTCACAGTCAGATGCAGCAAACGGAAGAATTCACAACATGATAGCCATGATCGTCCGAACGCAAAGGTTTCTGGCACTGAAAACGCTGCTACAACAATCTTGCCACGCCTCCACGGGGGCCACGAAGACCTGGGCAGACCTTGCCAAGCTGATGTCGAGCACACGCTTCAAATTCAAAAGATGTTGCCTTACAGTGTCTCGGCAAATGTAGGCTGAGGCAACTTTATGAAGAGAGAGAGAGAGAGAGAGACCGGCGCATCCCTCCTGTGAGGTCATATTATACAACCATAGTATCATATACCCCATGAAACCCTATTCTAAATACTAAGACCCGTGTAAACCCCAGCAGCCTTAAGCAGATTCTGAACCCTTATAGACGACCCTAAACCCTGAATCCCCAACCCCTAGACCCTGAACCCTAGAGGTTTTGCCCCAAACCTTAAACAGCAGTTCTGAACTTCTGGGACTCACGCGCCCCAACCACGGCAAGGCCCAAAACAGCGGCGCCCAAGCGCCTTGCCAGTTGTGTCGCATGTGACAAAGGAATCTTGCTGCTTGTGCCAAGAATTCAGCTGACGCTAAACAAGAATATGAGTACATACATACATACATACATACATACATACATACATACATGCATGCATGCATGCATGCATGCATGCATGCATGCATGCATGCATGCGTGCATACATACATATACATACTTCAATACATATACATGTTGTATGTATACACATAGACTCAGTCATCACAATACTCGCCATTAGTCATGGCCTGCGCCGATGTGGCAGAGGCCGCTGGCCGAGCTGGCTGGCCTGCACAAGTAGGAGAACATCAGACGAACTTGAATCTCCCCGACGTTCTCTGACCTTTTGACCAAGTCCTATAGTCGCACGACGTCGCGGGCCTGCTGCATGCGCATGATGTACACCAGTTCGACTTTGGGCCTTGTCCTAGTGGCTTAAAAAACAAAACTGCGCAGCCGAGAAGGGCGGTGAGCCAAAGGAGGCAGCGAAGATGCATTCAATCTGCCCGGATGCGAACTTTCCCTCCCAGCAATGCAACTGGGCACACGAGGGCAGCGTCCTGCGCAGCCAGCGTAACACGCGACAAGCTTCCGTGAAGACTCTGCCCATCTTTTCCACCTGAAGTGCGCGCGCTCAGCGTCTGGAGGCCAGCACACCTGCGTCCTTGTCGGCTCAGATCGGCAATAACATACTTTACTATAAAGTTATAGAAATTATTTACGGTCTACTGTAAGATGATGCCGAAGAACATAATATGACAGAATACTTATAACTGCAAATATAAATACAAGATCGTCTAATGCAATATTATATAGTACAGTCAAATATGAGAAATATAACGCAATTTCATATAATGCCATGGAACACAGAAGAATGCAACATGAAATAACACAATATAACATATTTTGACCTATTCTGGGACAACATAACACAACATAACATAGCAGAGTATAAGATAACAGAACTTAACATGTGTTAAGATAATATAACATAACAGCCTGTGACATACTATAACGAACTAGAACATACGATAACATAATGGAATGGAATAGAATAGAATACAAGGAATAGAGTAGAGTAGAATATTATGTAATATAGTAAAAGTGCATCATAAGCCCAGTCAAAGAACTGACTTTCTGAACCAGTGCTGTGGGCGCCTGCCTTCAGCTCGCAGAAGTACTCATCTGATTGTAGATGACCGGTATGCCAACGACGATCGCAACCATGAGGCAGTACCTAAGCAAGCTTGGTTCCCAGAACGCACGTCGTTTCCTTGTGATGTGGCATCTCAAGGCTCTGAGCGCAAGGCCTGATGCCCATGCTGGGACGGTAGCAGGCATAGGCGACCTCGTCGAGGTCTGGACAAGGCTGCTCTAAGACTCAATGCAGCCCAAAACTTGTCATCTACAGTAGAGTTCAGGACATGCAGCCAATGAAAAAGGTCGTCACTCTCCTCTCCTTGGGCTGCGCGCATGTTGCTGTTGCCTGCGGTGCCTACAGCTTTCCGTGGATTCCCCGATGGCCTTCATCTGATGACTGCTTGCGTTGATGCTGCTCTCCAGTCTTTTTATTTTTCTGGCTCTCCTTCGGCCTCCCAGCCTCCAGCTGAAGCGACAGACTCATCAGACTCCACAGCTGGGAGGAGGGCAGACTTTGACTTGACCGAGCTCGGACTTGTCTGGGCGAGTGACTCCAGGCTGCGTCGTGACCCTTTGGACAATTTTGTTGAGTGCCCGCGTTGCGTTGTCTTGCTGGACGGTCTGCATCTGTGCCTACGACACAAACCTTGGTGATTTGGGACTTCTGTGACATATCGGTTCCACGTTGGTTCTGCAAGCTGCTTCGACTGGAAGTCGAGAAAAGCACATCCGTTGTAAAGCATTAAGACAATCTCCAAGCCACATCGGTTCGCATCGAGCGTATAAAATCACACTAGAGTGGCTGACTAGTGCAGCAAGGCGAAGCACAAACGTCCCCGATTGTCTCCAAGTCCGCTTCACAGATCCAAGCTCGTGGCTGCGACGACTAATGACCACAAAACAAGTGTCAGCATCAGCATGTTCACCACGGTTGGCAGCCTGCAAGGCTGTGGCTTGACGATCAGCGGGCTGGCGTGCGGAGTGCGTCACCAGGTGCACTCACGGCTACTTGAGGCAGATGATCAATACAGTCGTGTGCTATCCTGTCCTATGCTCACTACCCTGCACTACACTGCACTACACTACACGAGACTGCACTGCACTGCACTGCACTGCACTGCACTGCACTGCACTGCACTGCACTGCACTGCACTGCACTGCACTGCACTGCACGGCACGGCACGGCACGGCACGGCACGGCACGGCACGGCACGGCACGGCACGGCACTGCACTGCACTGCACTGCACTGCACTGCACTGCACTGCACTGACTACACTACACTATACGTACAGCCGTATAGTACCAAACCATACCATGCTATGCTATACTACACTATACTATACTAGATTACCCAACCATACCACACCACACCACACCATACTTTACTCCTACTGTAACTACCATACTGACATAACCACGGCCAGCCCCACCTTTGAAGCCCCAGCCCCTCAAAGACATTGTCCAGGACCGGCAAAGCAAAATGCAAGGAGAAGTACCTGGCGACGTAGCGAGATCACAGCAGAACCTTTTGGCAAGGCCTGCCAACATACCAGTGGTATCCTCTGAGCGTGAACTGTAAGAAGTGATGCACCCTGCGTCTTACATGCCCGTCATGTCTGGCAGGCGCACATGAGCAGCCAGCCCAAGAGACGCCAGTTCCACAGCAGCCACGGGTTCCGTGAGACCGCCTGGACTTCCAGCTATCTACAAGCCGAAGTAATCTGCCATGGATCTGGGACTCCGCCGGAGCTGAGTGCCAGGCCCTGCGGAATGGCTTCTCAGGAGGCTCCATGGAATCTGAGACGTAGAAGATCTCCTGCCAGAATTGCGACGGCTAGTTCGGGTGCATGGAACGAGAGAGGTCGGCAAGGCCTCTTACCCAATTCTGATGTTCATGACTGCTCACGGCTACTCCTCCATCAAATGTGCAGGAGCAAATCCTATTTCCCTTCAAAACGGTCTTCAAAACGGTGCCTATGAAATGAAAGTTATGGTAAAACCTTCGAACGTCATCATATTTCGTACTCCTCTCACAAGCGTTTGGGTGCCTCTCAGCCATGACCACTGGCATTGAACCCATATACCGGGCGTGACGGAAGGCCGCAAGAGACTGACCCTATTCAGCCCAAAGGCAGGTCAGCCAGCTGCCGACGCATGTTCTCCGCCTTTCGCACGAGTTCGGCCGGACCACGTTTGGAGGTGTAGAAGAAGAGATGTAAGCACAAGTGCAAAGTGACGGATGGGCCGTTTCACAACGGCATCAGAGGTATCTCCAAGCTGCCTTGGCAAGCGGCAGCTGCGCACTACCCAGACCTCTTCATGCTAGGAACTCGGCACATCCGAACCTACCCTAAACCCTAAACCCTGGCCCTAAACACGAAATCCCAAACCTAGCTTGACCATGTGGCAGTGTTTCTCCCACCGCACTCAGGGAAGTCTGAGTCCGTGGGAGCTACGACATGGCTCTCTGCCCGGCGTCCTCCGTGACAACCTCCTGGGATGTCAGGCAAGCGAGGGTGTTGCCTCAGCTTCCGCAGTAATAGTAGTGTCAAGGGAATCGAACTTATATCAATAATAAGAGTCATGATAATGGTGAAGACAACAACAGTAGTGATGCTATTAACAAGAGTAACAACAATGGCAATAACAACAATAACAACAATTGCACCATTAATAGTCACAGCAATATCAATGACGCAAATGACAACTCTGTTGTGCTCCTATTCTATGCGCTGGAATCACGCCTTCAGGATCCGAGGTGTGGAAGTCCGGACCCCGGCGAGCGTAGATGAATGTTACTACTATCATCCATCGTCACACTCATGACATATGATTATTGTAGTTTCGCCATCATTGCTCCAATTGCCTTTCGGGAGATCGGATTCCAGCAGCCTGGCCTGTCAACCGGCCAGGTTGCAGAGGGTGCATGTGGTGCAAGCTGATAGCTGCCCATCCATAGAACTAACTCGCCCAGGTACTCCCCTGTACAGCCGCATTCAGCTCCCAGAAACTTTTGTACAGACCTGCAAACTTTGAACCCAAACCTTACATTGAATCAAGATGGGCTGGCTTCTGTCTCGAAGACTTTTTTGCTGCCATGCAGCAGGGGCAGCAGCAGCAAGTTGCGACCTCAGCAACATGCGAGTCTTAGGTTTCCGCATGTATGGCTTGGTTTGCGTTACTGCTGGTGATTGCCGCTCAAATCCGTAGCTTCGCAGATCTGAGGCCACAGCTCCGCCCGTGCAGCAGTTACCGTCTCGGCGCACTTCCTTCGCAAGCTGGCTCTCAGCTACCACCTCCGAGCTTCTCCGAGAACAGCTCCTGTCCTTTCGCCTTCCCATGCCAAAATGGTGTGACAAAACAAGGCGCGCACACACACACACTACATTTACTAAACATGCGAAGCGGTAGCACCGACCGGCACGTAAGAAGCTACCGGCCTACCAAGAGTCAAGACTGGGAGAACTCGAATCCAATTCCATGCCAACTGTGTGTGATCCCCTAAACCCCTAAACCCTAAACCCGAAGGCACTGAAGCTTTGCAAAATGCAAAAACAGGTGGTCCCTCCAGGTCTTGTCACCCTCCTCGACAAGCTTGAGCCGCTCCTCACAGTTGAATCTCTTTGTTTTTAGGGGCCTTAATAGTTAGAATAGAGTTTTGGGGCCCATTATACTATAATTATAATAAGGAACCCTAAGGAATAATATAGGTAATTATTTAGGCTTCTATACTACTTCGCGATTTAGTGTTTGCCGGGGGAGCTGAACAGAGTCGGGCCGGCATCGCAGTTACAAGTTGCTCCCGCCTGTCGCTCATCATCGCACGGTGCTTGTGGGACTACACGGTACGGGACAAACGTCTCGAGCTTGTCCTGCACAGACACCGGCGAGACAAGCATCGACTGGTTGCTCATGGCATAGTTTCAGCTTGTGGCCCTGCACGAGTACTTGCTCTGACTTCAAGCAGAAGATATCTGTGTGCAACAGTCTTGTGTTTTCACTTGCGCATCACTCTGGCTGCGCCGTCCTTCTGGCACTGGACGGCAACGACGGTGGCATCGCTTTCCGGCGTACAGAGGAATCTGCGGCGAATGCAAACAGTTTAGTACTGGGAATGGTGGGAGCAAAGGTTTCAAGCATTCAAAAGCAAGCCCCGTGCTTCGCGCCTGACTCTCAAGTCGCCCACCTCGTGTGGCTTGCATCACATCTTAGGGCCCATACCTGTGTTGCAACCTTCCTCCCAGTGCAGCCAAGGTTTCTCTGCACTCATTTTCGCGTTAAGGGACTTTCTGCAAGCATGCTCATGGCTGAGCTACACTGTACTGCAGTATTTTTCTACCTGTCTGCCTCTGTATCGTTCAGCAAAAACGGATGTATGTGTACATATACATACATACACAGAAACATACATACATACCTACTTACTTGCTTACTTACTTACTTATCTATTTGCTTACATACATGCATGCATGCATACATACATACATACATGTATACATGTATACATGTGTGTATTTGTCCATACAGATATATGTTGTGTACACACATAAGTATATAAACAAGCTACTTACTCAACGATATGCAGTTCTGTCGGTATGTGTATGTCTGTGCATATGCAACCATCAAATATCTAGGGCGATGTGCATACATGCGTGTACAGGCATGCCATGTGTGCATGAACGCAAACGTATCTACATGCATACATGCAGGCATACACACATACTTACAAGCAGACAGACGTACATTACATACATACATGCAGATAAGCACATACATACACACACGTGCATTCATTCATTCATTCATTTCTGCATACATGCACACCGTCGTACCTGCATGCATGCATACATACTTCCCATCCTAGGACCTACCTACCTACCTACCTACCTACCTACCTACCTAGCTAGCTACCTACCTGATGATACAAGGTAGGTAGCTAGATAGGTAGAAGCTCCGTGTGTGCGTGCATACATACCTACAAACATACAAACTATACCTACACTACATATCCGCATACATACATACATACATACATACATACAGACAGACATACATACATACATACATACATACATACATACATACATACATTCAGCCGCCCGTCCATGCACCCATGCATGCATGCACACGTATTAAGATGCATTCATACCAGACCATGCCATACCTTACCCTACGTACGCAACACCAGACAATGCCAGACCACACCATACACTACACAGACCTACAGATGTACAGATAGCAACAGGGCTGAGCTCCGGACTTGGTGTTTTTGGAAGAGCTCCGCCTGCGGGAACTGTTCGGAGCTTTGAACCGTCAGCAGCCGCAACTTGCTGCAGTGAGGAGTGCAAAGATCGGGGGTGGTGCTCCAAGGCAAAGGACCTTGCTTGAGAACAGCGGCCCCGAATGCCGAAACAGAGCAAAACTTCAATCCTCCGGGCCTGATTGCCGGAGAACCCGGGACGACCGTAGAAGAAGCCGTCCTGTGTGCTGGCCAGCGAGCAAAAGCGAAGGCAGCCCCACATATCAGTGTCAATTGAACCCCTCATGGTATCCTTATCGTACACTCACCATGATGGTACCCCTTTAGTAGCCTTACGGTGACCCTTGTAGATGCACTGCAAAGTGCTGCAGCGTAGGGGTTGAACGAAGAGCTTCCCGAGTAGACCCTGTTGCAGAATTGAGGTGGCACAGACTCCCCCTACTCGAGAGACTATGTATGTATCATCTGCTTCAGAAAGCGTACTATACGTGCATGGTTTATGTTTGATCATACCTTCGATTGTAATATCATGTAACATGCTGGGTCACCTTATGTTGTGTTGCAGCACTATGTCTTATCATAAATCAGCATGTCATGCCCTTTCATATCATAGTACACATGTCGTATAGTATTGTGAAGTACAAGTATCATAGGTTGAAGCCGAACAGAATACTATATCATTTAGCACAATCGTCATATTACAATACAATAACGAATATTATCATGAAGCGTCAGGTTACACAGGGCTGCAAATATCATATAACAACATGTAAAATCATAAACCACCGTATGATGCCGCATGGCATCGGATGTGTTATAAGGTAAATATCATATGATATCATCAAGCATGGTATACTATGTCATAGTATGGTACCATACGTTTCCAGCTGATATGATGGGATATAACCAAACAGAATGTGAGACAGTACCATGTGACATAGTGTAATATAGCAACACCCAGAAGAACAAACGGTTGAACCCTGGCTACAACATAATCTACTAGAATATGTTAACCTATAATACATTGCAATAGATTCGGCTGCATTAGAGGAGATTAGATTGCATTCTGTTATACCACGTAAACTGTAACATATTACGGAAATGTACAGTACGTTATCGAGCAAGAAAATATGTAGTGTAGTGTCGTGTAGTTTATGCTCTATGCAATTCCTTGCAGGGGCAAAGGCATTGATCGTACGGGCAGGTTTGCTGCAAATCAGCTTCAGCATCTCGGGTTCACGAGCTCCTGCTGATTCGCATGGAAGGTGATGCCCGCCGCATGCACCTTCCCGGAGGCACAGAGGCAGCCAGCCCAATTCCATCATACAGTCTTCCTAGGCTGTCTGCCAGGCAAAGTACACCAACTTACTCGGCTTAGCCGTGGCATGAGAAGCGAAAACTGACACATCCCCAACGAGCCGGCAAAACCGTCACACCCAGAGGCCCCGGCCCGTTGAGGCAATCGGCCCATGGCTGGTTCGAAAGTGCGAAAGTGGCTTAGCATCTCCTGCTGTGCTGCAGGACAAGGGTGGTTTGAGGCTGGAGTTTGCGGATTCTGACGGGGCTCAGGCGCTTTTGGGGGGTTTTTGGATCTTCACTTTCGTCTGGGATCTGGATCGACATCAGAGCCTGGCATGCGCAGAGTGGCAAAGCTTTTCCCCTCAAGCGAGCTTTGCGCAACGATACGTCGGCCATGCACATCTCGCAGGCTGGCAAGGACCACAACCTGCCGGACGAGCTGGGCTTCGGGTGCTGGGCTTTCAGTGTGGCTGCGACTACAGCTTGTAGGCATTGACCTGATCTGTCTCTGCTTCAACGGTCTTCTGAAAGATTTGTCGCGGCACCTCGTGACTCACGAGGCCGAACTGCTCGCAGTTCATGAGAACGTAACCTAGGCAGTGGAGCTCATGGGCAACTCACACTCTTCGCAGCTGACAGACAAGTGGAGGGCCTGTTTGTGAGTACGACTCCGAACCTTCAAACTCAAACAACCACTATAGTGAGAGTGAACTACAGCAGTTTACAAGGTAATGTAATAAATTACAAGATACTGTAATCCACTATAACATGCTCGACTATTCTATAGTATACCTCTATAAGATACTGTAATATGTTACAACCTACGATAACATGCTCGAACATATCGAACATACTACAACATATTACAATCAACCAAGACATAGTGTCCACTTACTATAAAAAAAACCTCAGACGTCATCATTACTACAAGATGCCAAAAGATACTAGTTATAATTTATAATATGTACATATATAGAAACTGCAACTGAGAGCTTGCCTTCGTTGCGGCTGACAGCGGAGCTGCCCTCGACCCTACGCTTGCGAGCACTTCTTCGGGTGCTTCGCGGCCCCGTCTCGGACCCTTGTACAGTAACAACCATTATAGCAACCCTAAGTAGAGATCTATCTATCTACCTACCTACCTACCTACCTACCTATCTATCTATCTATCTATCTATCTGTTGGTGATATATAACATGCATAGCATAGCATAGCATAGCATAGCATGGCATGGCATGGCATGGCATGGCATGACATAGCATTGCAAAGCACGGTAGCCTTCTGGGAACCTTGTAGTATCCCGTATCGCTTGCGGTTTGAGCAAGAGCAGGCTCGCGCTCGTCTTCTCCTGCACTTAGTGCACTTGGAGAGTCAGCTCTCTCCCTCTCTGTCTCGCACTCTCTCACCCAGACGCCACAAAATGGACTCTTAAAGTATCTTCAAAAGAAGACACATCCGACACCCACACCCACTTGACTCGGTAGATCGGTAGGTAGCAAGCTAGCTGGCTAGGTAGCTAGGTAGTGGGGGGTAAACAAGTGGGAGGGTTGGTTCCTGACGAAAAAAGTATGTAAGAAAATGCAGGCCTTTACCAACTGCTCTTTGCAAGCCGAAGTCACTGAATGTCCTCAGCTGCTTCCAATGCTGCACTGGGAGCTAGGCAAGATCATTCAAGGTTGCTGCGACGGCGACCAGCCACTGCAACGTGTAACCTCCAAACCAAGCGTCAGTGCTTCAGGCTCGACCCTGGAGGCCTGCATGTCCTTAGATTACGGAAGCGCAACTTTATGTTTGGTGTCCCTTGCAGTCTTGTATAGGTTTGGGAGGGGGCGAGGGACCGGATTTGCAGCTGCAAATTTGGCTGGTTACCGTCCAGCGCTGCGCCTTGGGCGAAGAGGCGATTCAAAAAATCGGGGGCAGCGACTTGAGGAGGATAAAGGGGCAGATTTGCAGCTAGGTGGAAGTGCGAACGACACAAGTTACAAGGCATTCTTGGTTTCCAAAAACAGACCAGGCGTCTGAAAAAAGCCACAGCGTTTCCTGCCATTGGCGTGAACGGGAGCAGGCCAAGACGGCGGCGTTGAAAGAAACTCCATCTGCCTCAAGGCTCATCTCTTGCATCCTTAGTAGGCACACCAATATCCGGCAAAGCTTCCGGTCTGCAAAATAAGATAGCACAACATACTTGCCACACTGTTGTGGAATAGAGCCACCCGTGTAATTACAGACCCTAGGCAACCAAACCCCGAGAGAACAACATTCCTGAAAGGCACCGATACTGCAAGCCACCTTTTGGAATCCAGTATCGTTTGAGAGATCAGTATCTGGCTTGGTCACTACTCGTATTCACAGTAGTTTCGGGTATAAGGTGGCATGGCAGCAGCAATAATGAGACTTGCACTGGAGATAACAATAATTATAATCAGAACCAAGTGTGCTCGGCAGACACAGACTCTCGTTCTGCCTGCAGAAAATGCCTCTTTGCCAAGAGTCCCAAAAAGTAGCTGCAGGGACTTTTGCCACAGAGAGCTCTTTTCACAGGCGCTGATGGCAGAATTGAGGGTCAGCGTGTTGGGCCTTGTCCCGGCTCGCAGCATGCCATCGAGCCTCAAGCCATCGTCGAAATGAGCATCTCCACACCATGTTGCCGCAAATGCTTGTTGAGTCCAAGCGGCAGAGCAAAAGCTGCTTGCCACTGTTCCGCATTCTCGCAGGCACTGACAGCAGAGCTCCAACCTGTTTGAGAGTGGTCTGGCCGTGCTGCGCATGCAGGCCGGTGTTGGGGGTCTGAAAGTTTGAGTGGAAACGTATCTCCAATTAACCTGCTTCTGTACGCAGTGCAAAGGTTGAAACTTGAGATATTGCAGAATAAATCTTAGCATGCCGGCATGTTTTAAACGTTGGGTCTACTATGGCCTGTTGCATGTTGAAATGGTTTTCGCTTCGTATCAATACCCCCGTTCGTAGGTTTGCAACTTTCGTGCAAGTTGGCGCCTCTGTGAACTTTGCTTGCTCGGGGCTGGTTCTTTGCGGATGGGTTAGTGTGTCCACAGAAGTACATACGCATGTAATGTCACGTCTTATCATGATTCGTGATGGTCAAGCACACTCTCTCTCACAGCGGCAGCTAACAGCTAAGTAAGGAAGCAGCAAGCAAACTCGCAACAACTCAAGACACGCCTTCAATGATCGAAGTACTGGTTGAGTTAAGAAGGCAAGTCCGCCCTGCACACAGGGTGTTGGTGACCTGAACACTTACCAGTTTCAAGCTGAATGGCTCACAACGCTGCGCTCCAGCTCCATGGCTGACATACCTGCAGCTGCATGCTGTGATGCGATACTCCAACCTCTCTGACTTGGTGCGCGCACCAAATGTGAAGGCGGGCGGTTCCAACTTTATATTATATATATATATATATATCATGTGTATATATATATATCATGTATATATATATATATATATGCATATAAAATATAATCCTTTGAATGGCGGCGAAAGCCGTCTTTGAAGCTCCGAGCGTCCGTGAAGCAAAGCCAGGGCCCGGGTCCAGTGCCCGGCCTTCTCACAGGCAGTGATTGCTGCGTTGCAGCCTCGGTTCTGAATTTCCGTGATCTGGGGGTTTCCGAAACTAGGGGACCCTAATATAGTACCCTAAATAATAGGATCCTTATTATAAGGACCCCAAAATAAGGTACCCTAAGTTTTGGAAACTCCCATCTCATGTCAATGTCTATTCCCGCATGCCCGGCTGTAGATCATATTGTATATCACAATTCATGCCAGCACCGAGCCACTGATTGCGTCGACACCCAGACTCTTCAAATGTATTGTGCTGAACACCTTGTTGGCAAAGGGACTCTCTCGTGGGACAGGCTCAACTGCATGATGCAGTGACTGTGATGCCCTTCAGTGATTGCTCAACACAGCCCAGCTGCCAGAAGAGCCAGCTGCCACTGACCTGCAAGGTGTGCGGTCAGATGGAGAATTACGAAGAGTGCCTCCTGAAAAGTACATCACGGTAAGATGCTGCCACTTAAACCCTAAACCTTAAACCCTAAAGCCAAATGTATGGCAGCCCAACGATGGACAGGTAGCTGCCCGCAGCGCACGCAGTGATGACACTGCTGTAGGTTATCACATTCGGCTCGGCCGCCTGCTCCTTAGGAATTCGTAGCGGATGCCACATGCCAACATGGCCTTCCCTAACCCCCCAGGTACCTACTATATAGGGTACTGGAGCCCCTAGGGCCCTATATAGTAGGTACCTGGAGGCTTAGGTTTGTGAAGCCACGATATGTTGTTGGTGTTTGGAGGCTGTTATTGCAGGGTATCAGCAGGACATGCTGAAATATTGGGCTCTAACCAACATGACCGCACCATCACTGGTGTTCAGCGACCTGTTGCAGTCGGGATTCAGGCATCTCGCTCAGTAGATGCAGAGCTAGGGACCATTCTCCTGTGCGTGAGTGCCGTGACTTGCAATGGGAAGGCCGGCTGCACTTGCCACAGAAGTACACTTGCGAAGGCAACGTAGAAACGGCTTCTTTCAGACGACGACGTTGCTGACAGAGGCAACAGGGAACGCGCAACACAAACAAAAGAGAACGAGAGGCAAAAACCATGAGCGAAGACGGCACTGTTCCGGGCGATGAGAACGGACATATTCCGAAAAGAAGTTGGAAAGGCAGACGACGTACTGTATCTCCCATGCCATCTCTTCTGGCCCACGACCATGTGTATCAGTGTAGCATCTGAGCACGATGCTTAAAAGCAAAGTCGTCCTGACTTTTCGAAAGCGCTGCTCACCGAGCTGAATGAAACGACCGTTGGTTGGAGGCTCGCCTCGACATGCTTCCACGAAAGACTTCGAGTTGGTCCAACATGGACAAGGAAAAGCCATCGTCGACTTAAGCCAGGAGGCGGCAGGCAGCAGACCCAACAAGTGCAGCGCGAGCTGCCATTGCGAGCATTTCTCGCATGCACTCATCGCTGCATTGTATGAGATGACATTGGGGTTCACCTTTGCCGGACACATGAGGCAAGGCTGTGATCGCTTTGAATTCTGGGACATCTGCGGGTGCATAGCCGCGCCTTCGCAGTGGGCATGCCGACGCCGAGTAAAAACAGAGCTGCGCGCCACTGAGCTGCCTCTTGATGCTGCAGGGAGCGCCAGGGCACAGGACGGCACAAGGCTCACTATGGGCTAAGAACTCTGCACCCCAAGGACCCGAGCAGGAGTCGTCCGGTCTGGTGGTTAAAATGAGTGTCGCTGACGGATGCATGCACGCAATACAAAAAAGCCTGAAACGCGTGGAAACTATGCCCGCGTCGCATCCCGCCTTTGCAGCGGCACTGATTGCTGCACTGTAACCCATCACGTCGCCCTGACAGGATTCTACAACAACGAACGAGAAACGTCTGCAGACCTGGTTTGCCTGACTTGAACAGTGATCTTTATGTCCGGTCCAGGACTGCAGTATCCGTCACACGGTACTTCTTGAGAATTCCTAAGAACTCATGATATTATAGCAGACTAGCAGAACAAGGCAATGCCATCTAGCATCCGTCCTCGTGGAAAGCTAGGAGGCACAAAGCCACCTCCCAGTTGCTGCTTTGCTCACAGGCACTGATTACGCTCCGGTAGCAGATAGGCTGAGGGTCCACAGAGTCCTGCCAGGGGTTTCGGATTCATGGTGCTGCTCGATTACGCGACTCTCCACAGCATTTCGCTTACTGGCTGCACGGCCGAGTTCTGTGCCATCTTTTGACCCGCAGATGCGAATTACTTCGGAAAGATCAGAACGAGGGAAGCTTGCAGGAGACTTCTGTCCTTCAGCATGCTGGCGAGCAAGCTGAGCGACAATTGCCAGAGGCCCTTGGATTCGAAGGCACGTAGCGCAGAGCTGTACGTGAAGAGGTCTGGCCTGACGGGCTGCAGCATGGCAATCAGGCAAACAGTGCAACTACAGCGTGCGAGAGCCAGCACCACCTTACTCTTCGTCTTGAAAAGCAGAATCGGGCTTGGGCGAAATGAAAGTATAGTCAGTATAGTCTAGTCTAGTTAGTCATTTGTTCATGCATACACATATACGCATATCTCAATATATTACAAACACATAATTATAGAGGGACTACAGTGACTACAAAATATCTGATGATACTCTTGCTTTGCGAGGTCCTCGAGAAACCAACAGTGGCTTAGGCCTGAGGCTAGCTCGAGCTCAAGCGGTTTTTGCAACGCGAATTACTACGAAATGTAATATAATCTACAATCATGTCACAGATCTGTAAATATGTACCAACTGTACAGATAATATAGGAAAGCCCGCCTCAGGCGGAATACTTGAAGCCTCTCCAGTAAAGACAGTGCGACTTGCCAATTTCCGGCGCCGGCACACGCATTGATGGAGGTGTTGAAGCTGATGATGTCCGCTGGAACGCTGTCCTGCATCCTCGGTCCAGCAGTCGGAGGCAAAACGATCGTAAGAAGCAGTAGCTAGCATCGCTACGGCCTGCTGTCGAGCAACAGGGGTGCTGCAGCCAAGCGCATTTCAGATATTGTAAAGTGTCCGCAACTTTACTTTACAATCCCGCCAGTCTCATCGCGGGAATGCATGGTTCCAGAACACGGGCACCGCCTTGCTTCGCCCGCTTTTCCAGGGGCTGCGAAAAGGTCAGGTGAAACCACCCTGGCCTTTGTGATTTGGCGACCAGATCTTTTGGCACTCCACAAATGCAGCAACTCTAGCACGGACTGAATATGCATCAGCATCGTACAGTAGCAAGTTTCTGGTAACGGCTGTTGCTCAAGTCTTGACCCAAAGTGCGCCGCGCGATCCCGAAAGGAAATCGGAGCTCTTGCATCCATGCACTCCTCCCCATCATGTCATTCCCCACCCACCCCTGGAAATGCAAGCCTGAATTCTCAACGTTGCGGTGTACGCATCTTTGGGATGGCTGTGGCGGCTAGGGCCTGTTTCAGTCGCTACGCTCATGGTTCAGAGGTGAGGGATGGAAGCAAGGCAGAGAACAGGTTTCGTCTTCGCTGCCCCATTGCCAGACATGCATGATCTGAAACCCCAGGAAGCGCCTGTCAGAAACCGGCACACAACATGCGAAATATTGCTTCCGATTTTCTTCGGTGGGAAAGCACTCAACACGCAAGACCCGAAGACTAAACAGGATCCCATTGAAGGACCTCCGGAGCTTCGGCGGAGCGGCGCGGGAACGGGCAGTAAGCAGGATCCCTGCTACATCCTTCTGACAACCCATACCTCTCCGGAGTCCTCAGAGCTGGATGAGCTAACACTGTCGCTGCTGCCCCTTGCAATGTAGTCTTGCAGTTTCCGCATTCAGCCCTTAGCCCTCAGCTCATAGCTCCATGCCTCCGAGTGCCAGGGCTGCGGCTGATTCGACTAGCACCCGGTAGCTTCGTGACAAGTACCGGTAGCCGATAGCTGCCGACGCAGGAGGTTCATCATACTGGAGCTGTCGACTCTGTTTTGGCGCCGGCTGCAGACAGTCTGAACTCGAGAAGCTGAGCCCATGTCATCGTCAGCAGCAGCAAGCAGAGATCCCAAAGGCCGGCTTGCGCACACGAGGCCATTGCCTTTGGAGACTTGGGTGTTGCAGCCGCTGCTACGATTGCGATGTTTGCAACGGTTCGGTACTACTGCACGTGACACAGCCATCCAGCAGCAGCTTTGTGTAAGCTTCAGGAAACAATAAGTGGTAGGGGATTCTCGAATTCCGAGTCTCCAGTCTCCAGCTGTGTCTCAGGGCTGCACGGTCTACGCATCACTGCTCCGTCTATCTGTTTCTGCTATCTGTAGACTCTATGCCCTTCCTCATCTCCATGAGTGCGTGTCGGGCAGCAGAGTTGAAAGTCACACAGTCTGGCTCCAGGCTCCGAGCTGCGACTTCGCCTGAGATTAAAGTTTGAAGATGTTTGAAGGTACGGGTAGAGGTTTCGGGGTTCATGTTGGGGGTTTATGCGCCCACTTTGGTACTTGCACTTCAGGCTGCAGCCGACCATGGTACCCTTGGAAACTGCAGTGCCTCAAGATCTCAAGACCGCTCGTGAGGGGCGCTACTACGAGCTCTGCTTGGCTTTCTCCGAAGGAATTCGCAGTTCTGTTTGTCTGCACTTTTCCTGACCAGGGTTGGTCAAGTCCCTGCCGGAACCCAAGGCAGAAGCCCTGACCTCAAGAGCGCTTGATAGCCCAGCCACTGAGCAGTGCGAAGGATGTCTGCCACTGGCTTCTCCGGCTGCAAGCGCTCAGGGATGAGTTGAAGGATACCACGTCTGGCAGAAGATCCGAAGCATGCCTCAGATCGGAGAGTGGAAGAGACCGAGTCATGTGCGGTGGTTCCAGGATTACAATGGACAGGCTGGACTCACTGCAACGCAACACATTACCAATTCGGATCAGCTCTGGGTGCTGGGGCAGCTTCAATGACACCCCGTTGGAACAACAAGTTCTGCACGAGCCCGAGCATCTTGCATAGAAGACAGGTCACATTGACGAGAAAAGCTGCAATGACAATTGCCACTTGCCAGCCTTCTCCAAGATGCTAATAGCTGAATTCATACCTTGGTGGCACAAGCGGAACAAGGTCCAGCCGGCGAATTCAGCCTAACACTCATCGACTGATACGAACAGGATGGCGAGAAGATCGCAGTCCATTGCAGTCATTGCTGACCTGCGGACGAGAAGCAGATCACCGATGGCACCACACCCGACGCCGCCATCATCCCCAAGATCTGCAAGACCAAGTTCCATGCACCCAGGCACGCACCAATTGCGGCGGAAAAGTGATACCTTGTTAGAGCAAGGAAGCATGTCCGAGCAGAGCAAGCTTGACTAATGCTGCACGTGCCAAGTTTGACCGAGAAATGAAACTGAACGATATAGAATCATATAGATTGGTGACGTGGGAAGCCTCGCTCTGTCGTTTTTCTTTCTGTTGGAGTGTCTTGTGCATCGGGATACTGATTCAGCTGCAATCGGCCGTTCTGCAAGGCGCCGAGCAAGTAGAAGCTCGTCCAGTGCCGGCTTTGACTGGCCAGGCCACTCATTACCTCAGTGTTCTATACTACACAGCATATATTCTATCATGTTTCATATATGATACAACCTAGATTCTGTAAGCCATATTACAAACGCTAGCTCTACTTATGCTACACATGATCTCAACAACGAAAAGCTCCCTGACCGATCAAGCTGAGAGCCGATGAGAAGAGCGAAAGGCAGGAAGAACAGATTAATGTAGGGCCTTAATAATTAGAACAGGGTTTTCGGGGGTAGGGGCCTTAATAATTAGAATAGGGCTTTCGGGGGCTCCTTATTATAATTATAGTATAATGTACCCCGTAACCCCTATTCTAATTATTAAGGCCCCTAGATTACGCCCAGTGCCTTTATGCTTAGGGTTTCGGGCCTTGGGGTTTAGGTTCGCTCTTGGACTCTATACAGCACTTAGGCGCCAGAATCTAAACCCTAAACCCTATAAACCCTAAACCCTAAACCTCCAAAAACCAGGGGTCGGAGAGGTATTCCCAGGTGGTCCTTGCCAGACCCTGGAACCCTGTTCTTGTTACGGCCCCCCCACATTAAGACAGGGGCCTTAGGGTTTTGGGCCCCATTATACTATAATTATAGTCAGGAACCCCCAAAGTAGTATTATACTATAGTTACAATAAGGAACCCCCCAAAACAAGTATTGGTAATTTTTTAGGCCCCCCCACATGAACTCCGAACTCTGCAGCTGCCGGGGAGCCTTTGTGAGAAGCTGTGGCCGAGCCGACCATGCGCCGATCTCCCCACGAACCGCTTCTGCCACGGAGGCTCGGGGGGCGGCATCTCCCAATTCAAGCCTGGCTT